ATTGACAACGTGAATTAATTAATTAATTGGATATAAGATTAATTGAATTATTAAAATTGGAGATTTATGCAGTTAAATTGCAATTGTTGAATAAATTTCGTGTTAATTAATTAACGAATTAATTGAGTAATTAAGTGAATTAAATTGAATATTATTAAAAGTAACTACAGTATTGATATTGAAATATGAATTTTAACTAATAATTATATATGTTAATTGCAGGAATTTTAAGAAGTATAACTAGAAGAAAATTATAATTTACGGTATAAGTAATTATATGATATTATGGAAATTTAAAATGAATTAGAGATAGGATTAACAAGTGCCTATGTATGTATGACGGGTGACTACTAAATGATGGTTATGATGGACGGGATTGTTTGATGTGAATTGCCCGATGGATGGGCTGTGTGTTGACATGCGGAAAAATATAAAATTTGGGTAGTACTGATTATAGAGGAAATGTTGTCGAATTTTTCAATAGGAAGTACGATTAAACTGATTATTGTTATTAATATTATATTATCAATCGTATTATTATTATGAATTTATTCGTATTATTATAAAATATTACTTAACAAATACCTAAACGTTTTATTTAAAAGTGATACATTAGAATAGATAAATAAGGAAACCCAATATATATATCTAGAAATATATGTATAATTTAATTAAGTGAATTAAATAACTAATAACCAAAACTAATAAAGGAGTTTAATTAAGTTGATATTGAAATAACTAATAACCAAAACTAATAAAGGAGTATTAAATTAATCTTTCGAATTAAAATTCTTTACTTAGAATTTTTTATTTTTTTTATGTTTAAAAGGGAGTTTATAAAATTCCGAAGTAATACGAGGAAAAAGGCTGGAAAGGATGGTTGCTAGAAAAGCAGTTCCCTTAGAGGAACAATAAAGAACTGTGAGTCAAGAGTGTTAGATTAAACTAGTATCATCGCTTGCCATTCATGCATTCACGGCGTTAAATGTTATCATGCATTTAATTTGTTAAACTGCCATACTGCTGCATTATTGTTTGATTAAGAATTGCTTGATTTATTGTGCTTGTGTGATATATACTGTGCTTTGTTTGTGTGCGAATTGCGGAATGAAGTGGGTTTACCATGGGTTTTGAGGACGGTCCGGTTAAATTTATGGATCCTGATTATTGATTGAAATTACTGAAAATTGGGACCGTCGGCCGGGTTAAATGAGAATCGGCGCCCCCGTGTCACCCGATGATATCGTGTGCACCCGATGATATGATATGGATGTTATGGAAAAGAAAAGAGAGAATGTAAAAAGAATGAGAGGACTGGTCATGTGAGGGTTAGACCGGTCGGCTAGATATGGGGGATTGGCTCCCTGGGTGCACATGTCTGAGAGGATGGGCTGTTTGAGAGGACGGCTCGTCGGGGGTTTAGGTGACGCCACTGACTAATTTCCACGTGATATGATTAAATGAATGTGATAATAATTGTGATTGCTGTTGTATTGCCATTTGTGTGACAACCTGCATGATCATATAACTGAACGAGTTACCAAATTAAAATATTTTAGCATTCTTGTTTGTGATTGATTGTGGCGGCGTGAGAAGGTTATCTCCCACCCCACCAACCCCTACCATTGAGTTTGGCGCTCACCCTGCCCTACCTATTTTTTTTTTTCAAGGTAATTATAGAAGAAAGAAAATCCTATGGAGGTTGTATGACATAATTTATAGAAGATTGTTAATATAGAAATAGCCGATGTAAATGTTAAAGGTTCCTAGAGATTCTGCAATTGTACTTCAGCTTGGGTCTGTAAATGTAATAATTTTAAAGTCCATATTAGATATATGAACTGTATTAGTGATACCATTAAACTGAAATTTAAATTATGGGCTTGCATCCACAGTTATGGAACGATAGGAAATGACGTTTGCATAATATAGGCTTACTAAGGTTTCGGGGGCCTTAAAGCCTCCACCAGGTCCTAGTGCCGGTCCGGCCCCACGGGAAAACACGGGTCGTGACAATATATATATATATATATATATATTATATAATAGTTATATTATTATCATACTATATATATATATCTACTATATTTTTATTATTTTATCTTATTTTTATTTATTTTAAACATGCCGATTTTGACGACGAGGTTCACTATTTAAAGGACAATTTATTTAAACATGCGATTTTTCGACGAGAGGTCACTATTTAAAGGACAAGAAGCCTGTGGTCTTCCGATCACATCGCGATATATATATAAACAATCCATAAAAAACTATAAATAATAAATAATATTTTTTTTAAAGGCAATAAATAATATTTTTAAATACAGAGGACATTTCCTTAAAAGCGCGCCCTTGATAAAAAATTTAATAACCAACTCTTGTTATCTATTTAACATTTTCAATCAATATCCTCACAATCGTTCTTCTAAATTAAGAAGATGCAATACTGTTTAAAAGACTTTGGAATCAAAATACTGTTTAGATTAATGCAATATAACGTTTTAAAGAGTTTAACTAGAGATCAAGGAATTAAATATTAAATACAATTCTGTTGTTTCAAAGAATACTTGAAAATAATGTAATAAGAAGAAAATCATTAGTAATTTTTAAACATAAAATTGTATTTATTGACTTATTTTTTTATTTTAGTTGGTAAACAGAAAACTTAGATACAAATTGAACAACTACAAAATATATCGACCTTAATTTTTAAGAATAGTCTTCAACAGAATGCAGGGAATAGTTTTAATTTCATATGCTTTGGCTCATCTTCCTCGTAATCAGACATGGAATCACTTTCCATCACCTGACCACCCAGAAAATATGAACTTGTTGCTTGAATTCTACTCTCATCTTCAGCGCACACCAGGTGAACCCCACAACTCTTCACCTTCATTTTCACATTTACTTCTTTCCTACTAGCAAATTTTTCTGCTTTGAATTCAAATGAGGCTTCATTGACTCTATAACAGTTCTGTAGGAGCCAGATACTTAGATTGCGAGTCGTTCGGTGGTTGAACCAAAGATACACATAATCTGATTCAAAGAGAGGCCCGTGATGAGATCTTATATGTGTGATGTCATACTCTCGGTATCCATTTGTGGTTTTGAAACAACATTTACATGTAACCATGAGATCAAAATCATAATATTCCTCGCTGTTGATAGTAGGAGTCTCATACTCCACAACAATGCAAAAAGCAAAATCTAGAAATGTAGAAATAAACCAAGATGGAAGTAGCATATCAGCATTTAGTGAAGACCCTTGGCTTTGAAAGCTGAACCACTCTGGAATTTCACTTCCAGATAAAGTGAGATCAAAACGAAGCAAATGGGTTATAATATCCTGACTCCTTCTGACATTATTCCTCTGCTTGATAACAGGAAAAAAGAAAGACAAATTAGATATTTACATATATGATTTACTTGGATTCGGGAAATGAAAAAGGACATATGAAGAGGCTCAAATGCTTACCGACCAAATAGCTAATTCTTTAATTCTCAACTCTGCATCTCCCATGATATTGCCACGTGCATTTTGATCCAAATTGAAGCAGTTCATAAAATCAAATTTGAAACAACATGGTTCAGGCTTTATGGGTAAAATGCATGAAGTTGATACTGCAGTTTTCAGCAACATACAGTTTTTTACTTCAAGTACTTGTAATTGGCTTGGAAGCTCTGGCAGACCTTTGAGTTTATTGCAGTCGTTTAGATAAGTTTATTGCAGTCGTTTTAGATTAACAAACACTTTTAAACGATGATAAACAGACTATGTTCAGACTATGTCACTGGGGATTTCTACAAGTGCAGTGCCGTCTAGACGAAGTTCTCTTAAAGAGCACAAACCATGTAAATCAGGCAGTTTGCCAAGCTTTGAACAGTCGCTGAGATTAAGAATTGTAAGGGATTTCAATTGACAAATGCTGCTCGATAGACTCTTGAGCCTTTTACACCCTTGCATATGTAACTGATAAAGAGAAGAGAGACGCGAAATTGTTGATGACAAATCTTCTATCATAGTATAACTTAAATCTAACCGTGTTATATTATTTCCTATATTCTCTGGGAACTTACTAAGACTTGAACAACCCTCAAGACTAAGTTCCTGAATAGAATTCAAACAATCACTACTTGGAAGACTTCTAAGGTTTTTGCAGTTCCGTAAGTCTATGGTTTCAAGATTGCAGACAAGTCCATTCTCTTGGAACCACTCTTCTAACCCACATTCCCCTAATAATAAGATCTTTAGTCCTCTTGGAACATCTACAAGCATCTGCAAATTTGAGCACCCTTTAAGATAAAGAATCGTAAGAGAGCCCAACTGAGCAAGTCTTGGAAGACTCCTCAGCTTCTCACAACCTCTCAGATCAAGAACAAAAAGGTTGTGCAGACACTGAATGGATAAGGGAATTTGGCTCAAGGTTTTACAATTTGAAAGACGAATCCTCTCTAGGTTTGGAGCCCAAGAGAGATCCGGGAGTGTTTCCAAGTACTCGCATTCAGAAAGATCAAGATATTTTAACCGTTGAGGACACTGCACATTAAACCAATTTCTTTTTAAATGTCAATTGTTAAAAGAAAAAAAAAACTCATACACAATATTTTGTATTAATATAGAATAAATATATCATTTAACTATTAACCTCTAATATATCATTTAAATGTCAATTGTTAAAAGAAAAAAAACTCATACACAATATTTTGTATTAATATAGAATAAAATATATCATTTAACTATTAACCTCTAATAATGTATAGTACACCCTGTACAAAAGCAAATTATATACTTAAATCATACCTTATTTCCATTCCATAGTTGCTTGACCTTGCTCCCTTTCATGTTAAGTTCAACAACATTTTTCATGAAAAAATTTGATGGCAAAGAATTGTAAGGGCAGTCTTCCCAATGGAATAAACTTATCTTATTAGGAAGAAACTGAAGCTCTTTCGCCTGACCAAGTTCAAATATAGAATCTGTGTTTGTGTCAGGGCAAGACCTATAAAATTTTAGCAGTCTTAAATTAGGAACCCGTGAGAAGATTGCAGGATGCAAGTGCACTTTCCCAATTTTTGAGATGTCCAAGAATATGCCTTCAACGGTTTCTTTCATCTAATAAACAAGAGCAAATAGTGCATAGCAGTAAGCATACAATATTATCAAAAGCCTATACACGTCTAAAACCTTAATGACAACCATGACACAGACTCGTATAGATAAAATAACAAACCAAACTCCAATCTTATATTGGCCTCTGATTGCTTTGTGTTAAGAAAAATCATGGAATAAAAGCAGTACAGTGATAATATACCTAACAGAAATAAGGAATACTGCATAATTTGTTTTAAAGAATAAGAAAATGACATCCTTAGCATATGTCCATTCATAAATTTCATGTATGAAAGAGAAGAAATATCATATCTTACCGTCTCAGTTATTAAAGTGTCATAAATTCTTGTGGCATTCCATAATCGGCTACCCATGCGTCGAGCAATATCCTGACCCATTTCTCGTATCAAATCATGCATCTCTAAGTTGTTTCCAAAGACAACTACGAGACACTTATCCATTAGTCGATTTATTCCCATACTTGCAGCAAGACCACATCCATTTAGTATATTTGCTACCCAATCTTTACGTTGTCCTTCAAAGAAACAAGCAATATCAAGAAATATATCCTTCTCACTTGGTTCTAGCGTATCGTAACTTATTTCTAAGACTTTCTGAATCTTAGAATCAGGGGTTTGTTTCAGTTTATCCAATACATTTTCCCATTCCTCTATACGCCTTTTGCATAGATGGGAACCCAAAACTTTAAGAGCTAATGGAACGCCATTAGCATAATTTACTGCTCTTTCTGACAACTCTACAAAATCTTTTGGAGGATGCTTTTTTTTAAAGGCTTTCATACTCAATAATTGAAGAGCATTAGAATATTTTAATCCCTTAACCTCATATATTTCATCAACATCGTTAAGTACTTCTTTGTCCCTACTAGTTACAATGACTCTACTACCAGGACCAAACCAATCATGATTTCCAGCTAAAGCCTCTAATTTGTCTGAATCATTGACATCATCGAGAACAATGAAAACTTTCTTTCGTCTAAGCATATCCAGAATAAAAGTTGGTATAACATGATACATATCCATGCTCAAATTTTCATTTTGTAGAAGTTTGGAAAAGAGACATTTTCGCAATTGAACTAATCCATCTTTCTCTGATTTTTCCCTAACATTGCTCTCAAAGTAGAAATTATCAAATTGATCAGATATTCGACTAAGAAGAACTTCAGCAATGGTCGTCTTTCCTATACCTCCCATTCCCCAAATTCCAATAAAACGAACATCTTTTGACCCAATACTTAACGATGACAAAAGTTTGTTAATGTGTGAATCAATCGCAGATAAGTCAGTGCAAGCACTGAAGTATGCAGGATATAATTTATTCAAAATTTGGTTGACTACTGCCTCACTCAATTCCGATTCAGTCCTAGCAAATATGACAAGCAAAACATATTAGTTGGTCCAAATAAACTTATAAATAAACTTGACAATGTCAAGAACAATTTTATTTTTTTTTAAAACAAAAAGTATTCAAGATCGGAATATTCTATTGTACTTCAATTAAATTTGAAAAACCACTCGTTTTGTAACAAGTAAAGAATTTGGTAATATAAAGCATTCTATCTATCAACTCTATGATAATTGACATCTTTGATTCTTCAATAGCTTTCAAAAGCGACCAAGATATCTCTTCTCCTCTCTCAAGACCAGCATCATCCATAAATGTAGTGATATGCTTTTGTTTTAAAGCAGCATAAAGATGGCTAGTAAAATTTTTGCGGGTATCAATGCCTCTAAAACTAAGGAATACATCATAGTTTGTTTTAGGGGGAACGGTGGAAGACAAAATCAAAGACATTATGAGTTTTTGACAGTTATGTTGCCCTGTTTGTTCGCTAGAAGAAAGAAGTAAGGATAAAAAGATGACTCTGAAACTTGAAGAATTGCTGGAAGATCTAGGAAGAAGAAAATTTAATTATTAATTTGTACCGAGCAAATTATTAATTTGTACCGAGCAAGTCTAAAAAACGAACGATATAAGAGTTGAGCAATTAGTTAAAACTGAATAACATTCATATTCGATTGAATAAAGTAATCTTAGTTAAAAAAATTATTAAAAATTGTTATTGATAAGGTTAGTTCAGTTGTTGTTATCTATATCACTGTAATTCTGTTAGTATAGCTGTCTATCTTAGCTGTATAGTTATCTACAGAGTGTGAAATACTGTATATAAAAACCTTTTCTATTAATGAGAAATCAAGTCTTAGCTGTATAGTTATCTTCTCCTAATCGTTTATGGTATTAGAGCCATATTAGGTTTAACAACCATGAGTGTTTAACAACCATGAGTACATCAAGTATCGAAGAAAGTTCTACCACTCCTTATGCATGAAGTGTAATAAAAAAACTCCTCATACAAAGAATAAAAAAGCACAATTGTAATTTGTAATAAAAAAACTCCTTATACAGAGCATAAAACATGTTTTATAAGCTATCGCTTGCTCCATTTGATGGCTATTCATAGTCATTGTTCGACTCTATAATCTTCCCAGAAGTTTGATTTAATTATATTCAAATTTCTTCTTTTTATTAGAAAGGAGATCGATCTACAATTTTTTTTACATAACTGTTTAAATAACAAAATACTATAAACAAAATCATTATAATAAATGATAAAAATAACTTAGAAAGTGTCAAACTAACTCAAAACAAAATCTCGAGATACAAAAAAAAAAAATTCTAATATTTGGATAACAATAACTCAGATACAAAAAAAAAAAATTCTAATATTTGGATAAACAATAACTCAGATCTGTAAGTCAAAAAAAAAACGGCAATGATAAAGATTATTCAATAAAAAAAAAAAACAAATAGAAGTAAAAAGAAAAAGGGGTAACCACAGAGAGCTCCTGATGAACTGTCGTGAAAGAAGACAAAAGAGGACTATTAGGTTATGAGAAGAGAAAGAGAGAGAAGTGTAATGTAAAAGAGTTTTTCTAAAATATATTTCCCTTCTTGAAAATTAGAAGTCATTTTTTACTGAAAGAGAGAGAATTATGTAAAGAGTTTTCTAAAATATATTTTCCCTTCTTGAAAATAGAAGTCATTTTACTTACAAATGACTTAATTTTCTTTTGACTAGAATAATATTTTATGTTAAACTGATTTCATGAACAATCTTAATACTGAAAAATCTAAAAAATATTTTTTAAACAGATTATTTTTAGAAAGAAATGGAGCCTAAAAATAATTATTAGCTTAATTATTCTCAGTTGATCAATGATAAAAAAAGAAAAAGAACACAAAAAATCATTACAGATTTGATGTGAAATATATGGTGTCTAAACTTTGTCGATTGTTATTTTAGTGTGAAATTTTTATAAATTTGTATAATTTTAATTTCTCATTTTTTTAGTTATTTTCTCTCTTTTTTTTAATTTAAATTTAAAAAAGTAGTTAAAAAGAAAAAAGACATTTGAATCTCAGTAAGGAGAAGGTTATTTGATAACTTTTACAGCACAGCTTTTCAACCTAAGCTATACACAAATGTTTTTCTTTAAAAATCTCTAGCCTACAACAGATTACACGAATCTATATAGACAAAGAAAAATACAATTATAAGCACAAGAAGAATAGAAAATAGATTTGAAAATAGAAAGTAAAATCAGAACCGTTCTTCAAAAGAGTTATTACAGAACTCTTAAGAATATTTCTAGAAGAATGGAGAAGAAAAGAAGCAAAGAGGGTTGAAGAGAGAGATTTGAATAATTTGAACCTCTAAAAAATGATCTCTTATTTTTGCCTAAAATTTTTTATAGAGAGAGAGAGAGAGAGAGAGAGAGAGACGTTTTTATACAAAAAGGGAATGATATTTCTATTATCAAATAACGTTGGGCTTTACTTTAAAGAGCAACGAGTATTTCTAACATGTTAAGCTAAAAAGGCAGTACATGAGATATATTTAAAAGTTGCTAGACTACCTTTTCACAGATACATACACAAAACTTGGAGATGGAGAGATTGTTTTAGGAAATTGTGTTGCTTTTCATCAGAAAATGTCAATTCTCTCAGAAACATGACTACTTTTGCAAAAAATACATTTAATAGTCTCCAAAGTGTTTTTTCAAAAACCTTTTTCGCGTGGATTAACGTGATGAGCAATGATTAAAACTTTCTCTCTCTAAGATATTTAATTAAAATATTTCAAAAATGATTTTGAAGAAGATGAAAAATTATTTTGTGCTTATAATAATATTATCTCTCTATTCTACAATATTTCTAGACTCATAAATGTATTAGCCAATAAAAATCTTCATTTATCTTCATGATCTTCAATAAAAATCTTTGAGTTGTAGGAGTTTGAATTCTTCAATAATTTCATCATTAAAATTCTGCATAAAATCAATTTATCATACACAAAATATTAAATTTATTTGGTTTATTTAGTGATCACAATCTTGAGCCAACAGTACTGTGTGGCTAATAAATTTATAAGTTTAAAAACATTCCTCATTAGGTATTTGAATGACAATTTTTCAATTAATCGCATTTGGCTAAATTATTTTCCAGAAATTAAATAAATAATTTTATTCATATAATATTAACAAATATTAATATCTATCCAATTTCCAGAAATTAAATAAATAATTTTATTCATATAATATTAACAAATATTAATATCTATCCAATTCATCTCTCTTTATTCATTTTTTTTATACTTTTTATTGAGTTATAATTCGTATTTCTTAAAAAAGTATATATATATTTTTAATTCTCTTTTTATCCCGAAACAAAATAAAAAATAATGAAAAAAATTAGACAAAAGCGCAATAGTCTAGATAAATGAATAAAGTGCATAAATAGGGTAAATTAAATAATTTATTTTGATTTTCAATCAGAAATTTTGGCAAAATGCATTGAATTGAGAAGGAAATATTAATTTAAACACTTGATTGGTAAAAAAAAAAAAAAGTTGATAGAAAAATGTATAAAATTCAAATGCTAAATTTAAATTATCCAAATATAAATAGGTTTTGAATATGTACGTAAAATTCAAATGCTAAATTTAAATTATCCAAATATAAATAGGTTTTGAATATGTACGTTAGTTAAATAGTTTTTCAACTTATTTTGTCTTTATCATATAAGTTAATTGAGTAGATTTTTCACATTAAGGGGATGTATTGAATTAAGAGTCTGTTAGATTTTAAGATTTTAAAATTCTAATGTTATTCGATCTAGATGTTTTTTTTTTGAGTCTATTAAAATTTATGGTATTCAATTCAGACTCTTATAAAATTCATAAAAGTCTGATGATTTTCAACTATAACTTTTTGAAAATTTATATAAATTTGATGGTATTAAAAAATTGCTGCTTTTGAAGGATCTTATAAAATTGTTGATTCCATTAGATTTTAGAGTGGTAAGTATGAATAAAAGAGTTATTTCCAAATCCACCATCCAACCCAAAGATTTCAAAAATTTTTTAAAATCTAACAGAATCTTAATCTAATACACCCCTTAAATGAAGATGAAAGCAGGGTGGATACCTACGAATTTTAAACGATTTGTATAGTCATTTAAAATTTTACTACTCATATCCGTTCTAACTCGGTTTTAAATACTCATTTTAAGTACCCGTATTCTAGTCCGTTTAAATTTTTACCATTCATATTTGATTAAAACCCGCTTAAAGCACCTCTTAAATAGGTAGAGTATCCGCAAATCTTAAACTATTCAAATTCGAACTTATTTAAAATATATTTTTTACTAATAATGAATAGGGTATCCGCGGGTACCCACTACCGAACTTGTTTAATATAACAGTTAATGGGTAACGGGTATTTAAAGATTTATATTCGTATCCTACTCGTATATGTTATGGATAGTAATTTCATTACCCATATCTATTACATGTACTAATTTCACTATCCATATCCATTACAAACTCAATGATAACTACTTATACCCTCTTTAAATGGATTGGAGCAGAGCGTGTATCCTAAAATACGCATACCACTTCTATCCCTACCTCTTAAGGTGTAAAACAATGTATTAATTATTTGATTAGTTTCCAATTAATTCATGTGTTGAGAATTTGATATTTTGACAAAAAATTAATGTTAATGCTGCAAAAAATTTTTCAAAATTAATTTGATTGTTTTTTTACAATTTTTGTGATTGATTTCAATTAAATAATGATTCAAGTCAAATAAAAAAATTAAAAAAGCTTTGAAATGGTCGAAGAACTAAAGAATACAGTTTGCCATTATTGTGGCTAGAACGATAGGCTCCGTGAGTCGCAAGCGGCGGGCTGTGGGTTGAGTCTGTCTCATTGTGCGCCGCCTCCTTGCACGAGCTTCGGCAGCTGGCGCAGGTCCTAGCTAGAGGTTGTTGGTTTTCAGTTTTAACTTTTATATATATATCGAGTTTTTTTTTAACTTTATAAATATATAATATAATTATATATATATATATTATAATAAAAGTTAAAACTGAAAACCAACATATATCTGTGTGGGGTGTGATTTTTCGATGGAGAGAATCACTGTTTTCATCAGGGACAAGAAGCATGTGGTCTTCTGATCAACAAGAAGCATGTGGTCTTCTGATCACATCGTGACTGTTCTAGGAGCACAGGATAGCCGACGACGGTGCTGGCCATTGCAGACCTTTCATTATCAGCAGTGGTAAGATTTTAATAAAGAAAAAAAGTGATTTTGTAGAATATGACACATTTTACTTTTTAAGCCCTCATTATTTTTTAATTTGTTCAATTAGGTCCTGAAATAAATTTTGATTGGATATATAAAAATCATTGTAATTCCATCAAAGTTAATCAAAATCTAAAAAAAAAAAATCTCATCAATTTCATAAAACTCGATATAGAATTTTATTGGAATCCATGAAAATCTTAGAAAATCTTTTAATTTCGTCAACAATTCTTTTAAAATATAATATAATCCTAATCCAATACACTCCTCTAAGAGTGCGAAGTTTCAAGTTTGAGTCTTCTTAACTACAACGGTTTTCACAAATTTAGTGAATTAGAAAGCCACAAAAATTTTAACCAATTTAATAATTTAAGGGGAGAGCTATCTTGTTTTATATATACTGTTTAAAACACTTTGGAATCAAAATACTGTTTAGATTAATGCAATATAACGTTTTAAAGAGTTTAATTAAAGATCAAGGAATTAAATATTAAATACAATTCTGTTATTTCAAAGAATACTTGAAAATAATGTAATCTTTGGAAAATAATGTAATAGAGAGAAAAATCATGTAAATCATTAGTAATTTTTAAACATAAAATTTTATTTATTAAATATTATTGACTTATTTTTTTATTTTAGTTGGTAAACAGAAAACTTAGATACAAATTGAACAACTACAAAATATATCGACCTTAATTTTTAAAAATAGTCTTCAACAGAATGCAGGGAATGGTTTTAATTTTTTAGGCAGCGGCTCATCTTCCTCGTGATCAGACATGGAATCTCTCTGCTGATCTTCCTGATTACAGACAGAATCTATAGAACTTGCTCATCTTCCTCAGATTCAGACGTGGAATCGTTTTGCTCCTCTTCCTCGTAATCAGACATGGAATCACTTTCCATCACCTGACCACCCAGAAAATATGAACTTGTTGCTTTGCTTCAATTCTGCTCTCATCTTCACGGCACACCAGGTGAACCCCACAACCCTTCATTTTCACATTTACTTCTTTCTTACTAGACAATTTTTCTGCTTTGAATTCAAATGAGGCTTCATTGACTCTATAACAGTTCCGTATGAGCCAGATACTTAGATCTCGGTGCTTGTACCAAAGATACACAGAGTCTGATTCAAAGACAGGCCCGTGATGAGATCTAAAATGAGTGATGAGATACTCTTTGTATCCATTTGTGGTTTTGAAACAACATTTACATGAAACCCTGAGATTAAAATCATAATATTCCTCTCTGTTGATAGCAGGAATCTCATACTCCACAACAACGCAAAAAGCAAAATCTCTCATACTCCACAACAACGCAAAAAGCAAAATCTAGAAATGTAGAAATAAACCAAGATGGAAGGAGCATATCAGCATTTAGTGAAGACCCTTGGCTTTGAAAGCTGAACCACTCTGGAGTTTCACTTCCAGATAACGTGAGATCAAAACGAAGCCAATGGGTTATAATATCCTGACTCCTTCTGACATTATTCCTCTGCTTGATAACAGGAAAAAAGAAAGACAAATTAGATATTTACATATATGATTTACTTGGATTCGGGAAATGAAAAAAGACAGATGAAGAGGCTCCAATGCTTACCGAACAAATAGCTAATTCTTTAATTCTCAACTCTGCATCTCCCATGATATTGCCACGTGCATTTTGATCCAAATTGAAGCAGTTCATAAAATCAAATTGGAAACAACACGGTTCAGGCTTCATGGGTAAAATGCATGAAGTTGATACTGCAGTTTTCAGCAACATACAGTTTTTTACTTCAAGTACATGTAATTGGCTTGGAAGCTCTGGCAGACCTTTGAGTTTATTGCAGTCGTTTAGATACAACACTTTAAACGATGATAAAGTTAGATACAACACTTTTAAACGATGAGATAAAAAGAACTATGTTCACTGGGGATTTTTCCTACAAGTGCAGTGCGGTGTCTAGACGAAGTTCTCTTAAAGAGCACAAACCATGTAAATCAGGCAGTTTGCCAAGCTTTGAACAGTCTCTGAGATTAACAATTTTAAGGGATTTCAATTGACAAATGCTGCTCGATAGACTCTTGAGCCTTTTACACCCTTGCATATCTAAATGATAAAGAGAAGAGAGACGCAAAATTGTTGATGACAAATCTTCTATCATAGTATAACTTAAATCTAACTTTGTTATATTATTTCCTATATTCTCTGGGAGCTTACTAAGACTTGAACAACCCTTAAGACTAAGTTCCTTAATAGAATTCAAAAAATCACCACTTGGAAGACTTCTAAGGTTTTTGCAGTTCTGTACGTCTATGACTTGAAGATTGCAGACAAGTCCATCCTCTTGGAACCACTCTTCTAAGCCACATTCCCCTAATACTAAGATCTTTAGTCCTCTTGGAATATCTACAAGCATCTGCAAATTTGAGCACCCTTTAAGAAAAAGAATCCTAAGAGAGCCCAACTGAGCAAGTCTTGGAAGACTCCTCAGCTTCTCACAACCTCTCAGATTAAGAGAAACAAGGTTGTGCAGACACTGAATGGATAAGGGAATTTGGCTCAATGTTTTACAATTTGAAAGAAGAATCCTCTCTAGGTTTGGAGCCGAAGAGAGATCCGGGAGTGTTTCCAAGTACTTTTTTTTTTTTTTTTTTTTTTTTTGCAAGTAACGTTGAATAATCTATTTCTCGAAAAGTAAAATTAATAAATCAAATAAAACACTTTATACCTTTCCTTAAAAATTATATTTTCTTAATCTACTTATCCCAACTGATAGAGGTAAACTTTTAAAAATTTCTGATATCTCTCATTATTCTTTCCTAGCTTAGGTCATTTATATAAAATAATCTCTTCGTTATTATGGTCATTACTCTCTACTCTCTTCTACAGTATGATGAAAGTTAATATAATACAATCTTTGGGGGTTATATTACTTGTTCTGTTATCGTATCTCCTTCCTCAGTTTCTGATTATTTGGGAAGCTGACAGGGCAAAGATCATGAGCTGGCTTGGTAACACCACCTCACTAAAGATAAGCAACATTTTGGTAATTTATAGACAGCAAAGCAAGTTTAGGATTTCTTGGCTGCTACGAATTACTGATCAAAGCTCCCAGTATCAGATTGATCGAGAACTCCCCCGTCTGCAATAACTTGCTTTCTTCACCATTTGCCTCTGCATAATTCATTAGTTTCTCCTTGTCCCTGCAACCAGATTTAGTACGGCCAAACTACTTGCAATTGTAACATTGGATGTTACTCTTGTTACCTTTCTGCTCATTGTAATGTCGTTGGTCATAACCTTTGCCCACGACCGCCTTTTCCATGAAAACATCACTGCATCGTCCTCTTCCTGCTGCCTTACCAGATTCAATTGAGGTGCACACCCCTTCCCTGGAAAGGCTTTTTCTTCGTGTTTTTCAGTTATCCTGTTCATCCTTTCTTCATGCTTTTCATCAAATGAAAAGGCTGATAGGTCCTCGAACTCCTCAATTGCAGCTACAACGTGATCAAACTTAGGAGTAAGACCCCTTAAAACCTTTGCAAAAATAGTTTCATCACTTATTTGATCTCCATATATATGAGCTCATCTAACTAATGATTGCCATCACTCTAGATAGGAAATCTTGCACTAATTCATTGCCTTTCATAAGCAAGGTTCAAACTCATACAATAGAGTTTGGACCTTCACGGCTATTACTTAATTTGGATTGGCCTTGAAACTCAGTTTGCAAAGTTGTCCATACCCGCTTCGAAGTAGTTGCTGCTGCAATTCTTGAGAAAATAATCTCATGCACTATTTGCTGAATGAAGAATAAGGCTTTGGAATACATCATTCGATTTTCCCTCAAGCGATTCTTTTCTTCTGGAATAGTAAACCCATTCTCTACTAAGTCCTATAGGTCTTGAAACTTAAAATGGAGTCATCAATTTGATGCTCCAAGCCTCATAATTCTTTCCTTTGAAAACGCGGATGGCTGGTTAGGCAACGTTGGGTGAATTAATTTGATGCCATGGAGCCTTATCAAGACTTCTGATATACCCTTGGTGAGCAACAGAATCTGGGGCTCTGATACCACAAATGTTGGAAATCAAAGCAGCAGAGTATTGAATAAAAAATAGTTTTAGCAGAAAAGAAAGACTCAAATTTGCTGAGTTATTTGAACTGAATGCTTCAATGATAATTGCAGAACAAATGTTGCTTATAAATAGGCAAACAAGAAAACTTAAATAGCTACAAATACTCCACCAACACTAGATATTTCTCCCACTAGCTATAGACTTATTCAACAACCAAATAACTAGAAATTCAAGGAAAAGACAACTGCACTAACTCAAGAAAATATAAAACAAAACAAATATTATTTTGACCAATTTTGAATTAGTCTTCAACAAAATATATATTGATTGGCGTCTACTAAGGTTTCACTTTTATTTTCCATCAAAGGCAATGAGTGCTATTGAGCACAACAAAAGAATACGACGACAACAAACAGTGAAAGATAGAGTCATACTCATAGTCCAGTTGCTTGCCATAATGGCAAAAGTAGAAAAACAGGACATGCTATGGTCACTTTCCGGACAAGAGATTGAAATAATCATAAGAGCAACAGAGTCGATCCCTTTAAACATTAGAAGAGGTAATCATTCACAAAGCAAAATTGCTTGCTTTAATCTTTTTGGGTGAGGTTCCTCTTCCACATAATCAAACATGCCATCTCCAATGATATCAGTTTGATTAGAGCAGTAGTCTTCCCTGCTTCTCCGCTTGGTTGATCCACACTCTACGGAAATTTTGTTTTGGAGTCTGTTACGCATCCGTTTCCCCGGCATCCATTCAGCATACCGTAGTTGTAGACCACATCCATTCACCTTTAATTTCCCCTTGTTAAATCCTCTTGCTTCTGCTTTGAACTTGCATAAGCCCTCATTGACTTTGTTTCCTATGAGCCATTTCCTTAAATTAAGATTAGCGTGAAAATTATCGTACCAAAGGAACAAGTGATCTGAGTGAAGAATGACCTCCAAATGGATGGTGCTACTTCTGAACTGAACTTTCCGGCCACCGTTATCACTTTTGAAATGACATTCACATGTAATGAAGAAATCATCACATTTGTGAAGAGGAATATCAAATTCTCACATGTAATGAAGAAATCATCACATTTGTTAAGAGGAATATCAAATTCTATAACAGCACAAAAAGTAAAACCTAAGACATCAAACCAGTTGGGAGGGAACAGGATAGAAAATGAGGATCCTTGGCCTTGATAACTAAACCATTTTGGGATTCTGCTTGGAAAACCAATAGTATCCCACTCCGGAACTTCTTTTTTGAATAAACAAACAACAGTATCCCACTCTGGAATTTCACCTCCGGGTAAACCAATGACAATATCCCACTTTGAAATATATATTCCGCGCCTATGAGCCTGTCGTAAAAAAATTAAAATGAAGAGGCAAGAGGTAAAAGAAAAAAAAAAAAAAAGATATCATTAGGTAAAAAGAAAATTTTGGTCTTAATAGAAAGAGGTGAAGGAAAGAGGGGGAAGAGGCTTACCATAGCAGTAGCAAATGCTATTTCTTCAATTCTCTGACGCACATCTTCCACAATCTTGCAGCGCACATTCTTGCTCAAATTTATGCAATTACAATAATTAAATAGATATTTATATTGCCAGAAGTTTCTGAGATGTCCAATGCATGCAAAGGATGATGATGATTTTGCAGTTTTGACTGATGTGCAATTTGCTGCTTGGAGTTCCATTAGTCTGCATGGAAGCTCTGGCAAACCTTGGAGTTTGTCACAGTTATTTAGATTCAGCACTCTTAATAAGGTCAGAGAAACTATGTCACTAGGAATTTCTTTTAGCCTACTGCCATCTAGATATAGCTCTTCTAAAGAATACAAGCCATATAAAGGTGGCAATTTATTAAGCTTTGAGCATCCACTAAGAACAAACTTTTGAAGCAATTTCAGCTCACAAATACTACTTGGGAGACTTTGGAGCCTCACACATTTCTTCATTTCCAGCTCAACAAGAGAAGAGAGATATTGTATGGATGAGGGCAATTCTTCTATTCCAGTCTGATTTAACATTAATACTTCAATATTTCCAAGAATCACAGGAAATTTTTTGAGATTCAAGCAGCCTGTGAGATCAAGTATGCGTTTCTTAATAACGTAATTTAAGTTAATACAACGTGGAAGACTTCGTAGGTTTTTGCATTGCCACATACTTAAGTATTGAAGATTGTCAAGAACTTGAACATTTAGGGAGAACACTTCCAATCCAGACCATTCTAGTTCCAATACTTGTATGCTTCTTGGAATTTCTAGAGCAGTCTTCAAGTTTGAGCAGTAAGAGAGACGGAGATGTGCAAGAGATTTTAACTGAATGAGGTTTGGAAGAGTTCTCAGCTTTTTACACCTGTATAGATCAAGATATTTGAGCTTAAGAAGGCACTGAATCGATGAGGGAATCTCAATCAACCTCACACAAAGCCCAAGATTTATCCACTCCAAATTTGTTGCTGAAGAGAGATTTGGGAGCCTGGTTAATTGCATGGATCCAAAAAGATTGAGATATTTTAATTGCTGAGGACACTGTAAATGAAAAATATTGTACTGTCAGTGTCTGAACAAATTAAATTGTAAATGAGGTTTGAAAATTTTGGGCAAATTAATATCTTGAATTCAATTCCCAGGAGAGGTGGATTGAAAAATATATACTTCTTACTTAGTTTATTCTGAGATGTTATTCTTTTCTATTAATACAATAATAAATAACAAGTGATAAAAGGATAAATTTAAAGCACACCTTATCTCCAGTCCAAAGTTGTTCAATCCGACTCTCTCGCAAGTCAAGTTGAACAAGGTTCTCCATGAAAAAACTTGATGGCATGGATTTGTAAGGGTATTCTTCCCAATGAAGTAAACTCAACTTGTTAGAAAGATACTGCAAATAATTCGATTGAGGAGATTCAAGCATGAAGCCAGTATCCTTGTTTTATGGATTTGGTAAGGGTATCTTCCCAATGAAGTAAACTCAACTTGTTTAGAAACGATACTGCCAAATAATTCCGAGTTTGAGGAGATTCAAGCATGAAGCCCAGTATCCTTGTTTTTGGAACATACTGAGACCTAAAAAATATCAGCGATCTCAAGTTAGGCATCCATGAGAAGGTTGCATGATTCAAGTGTACCTTTCCCATTTTAGACATGTCCAAGAATATGCCTTCAACTGCCTCTTTCATCTAAAAAACAAGAGGAAATAGCAAATAGCAATTAGCATATAATATTATCAAAAGCATATAATATCTAAAACTTCAATGCAAATCATAAGACGATTCATATGGGATATAGCATAACAAACCAAAGTCTCCAATTTTATACTTATTTTTGATTGCTTAGTCTTTAAGATAATCAAGTATGCAATAGAAGTTGTATAGTAATAAAATAAGGCTAACCAGAAATAAGTGGTAATTCATAACTTTTAATTCTTACTAAAAAGAAAATAATATCATCCTGGTATTTCAATTCAAATATCTACCAAAATAAAACAGATCAAATATCCTACCAAAATTACAATACAGAGGAAATTTCATTTCTTACCGTCTCAGTTGTGCAAAGTAATCAACAATATGTTCATGGGAATTCCCATAATCGGCTACCCGTTGTCGAGCAATATCCTGACCCCATTTCTTGTATCAAGTTCCTGGCATCTCTAAGTTGTTTTGAACAATTGACTACGAGACACTTATCCTTTAGAGCGATTTGATTCCCAATGCCTTGCAGCAAGACCACAATCCAAGTTTAGTATATCTTCACCATCTTTATCTTTCCTTTGAAGAAACAAGCGCCCATCAAGAAATATGTCCTTCTCATTTTTGTTTCTTAGTGGTTAATCATAAACTTTTACTTTCTAAAGATTTTCTGACTCTTAGAATCAGGAATTGTTTTTTTAGTTTGTCATACACTTTTCCCCATTCCTTCGGAGACCTTTTGCATACATGGGAACCAAACCTTTAAGAGCTAATGGAACAACCTTTAGCATAATTTCAATACCCTTTTGACACTGTTATAAAAAATCTTTTTGAGGATGCTTTTTTTTGCTTGGAAAGGCTTTCATAACTCAAGTAATTTTAAGAGCATCACCGGTATCTGGTAGCCCTCGACCTATAATTTTTATTGTTCAACTCCATTGTCAAGTACTTCTTTGTCCTCTACTAGTCATGAATAACTCTACTTTTCTAGGACAAAAACAATCATGCATGTCCAGCTAAAGCCTCTAAATTGATCTGAATCAATTTGGACATCATCAAGAAAAAATTAAAACCTTTTTTTCGACTAAGCATATCCAAAAAATAGTTTGGAAAGTACATGGTAAAACATTTCCAGATTCAAATTTTCATTTTGTATTTTGTTAGAAGTACATTTCCAGATTCAAATTTTCATTTTGTATTTGTAGAAGTTTGGAAAAAAGACATTTTCGCAAGTGAAATAGTCCATCTTTTTCTGATTTTTCCCTGATATTGCTGAGAAAGCAACAATCATCAAATTTATCAAATATTCGACTGAGAAGAACTTCAGCAATGGTTGTCTTTCCTATACCTCCCATTCCCCAAATTCCAATAAAGCGAACATCTTCTGATCCAATAGATAACAATGACAAAAGATTATTGATGTGTAAGTCAATCCCAGGCAAGTTACTGCAAACACTATAATATGCAGGATACAATTTCTTCAAGATCCGGTTAACGATTCCCTCACTTAATTCTGATTCATACCTAGCAAATATGATAAAGAAATTGAATAATTTGTGTACATTTATTCAATTAGAAAATGATGTATATTGTTTTTATGAAAGGTGTTACCTGTAATTGTTCGAATCCCATCCAGATAGATTGGCTGCTTTCGTCAAAGCAGTGATCCACCTATCAATCTTCTCTGCATCCTCCTGAAATTGTTCTTTAACTTTTCGAAATCCGTCTCCAAAATTTCCAGTCTGGTTTCTAACATCAGAAGGGTCTACACGGTAGAAAATTGGTAAAACCTTCTGTCCAATTGACTTCATGCACTCCATTATCTTGACTAGTTCATCCAAACACCATTGAGAGGAGGCATAATTTTTGGAGAAAATGATGACTGACATCTTCGATTCTTCAATAGCTTTCAAAAGATTTGGAGATATCTCTTCTCCTGTCTCAAGACCAGTATAATCAATAAATGTTGTGATAACCAGTATAATCAATAAATGTTGTGATATGCTTTCGCCTTAAAGCAGCATAAAGATGGCTAGTAAAATTCAAGCGGGTATCAACACCTCTAAAACTGAGGAACACATCATAGTTTGTTTTAGGAGGGACAGTGGAAGATGATATTGAAGACATTTTTTACCAATATAACTTCCTCTATTTGTTCGCTAGAAATGACAAGTGCCGGTCAAAGAGATGACACTAAAATTTGAAGAATTGCGATAAGGCCAAGGATGAGGAAGAATGTTAAAACGACTAAGAGCTTTATATGTGTCAATATAGCCTCATAGATTATCCCTTTTCCATGCTTTCTGGGATGCTTCACTGAAATTACAGAAGTGCGGTGCTTTCCACAAAGAAATTACAACGAACATCACTTTGCTATGTAAAGGTGAGGCCCAATTGCACTTTCACTCGTTAGATGGAATTTATTTATATTATCTTGTATTCATTCCATCACTTCTAATGATGCTTTGTAAAGCAAAATTCAAAATATGTTCCTTTCTAATTTAGTATTAAAGCAAAATTCAAAATATGTTCCTTTCTACTTTAGTATTCAGTAATAGTTGAATTAGTGAACTATTGGTCAACAGGCAGGGAGCATAGTTATGACTCAAAAGGAAAAGTTGAAGGCCAAATGCACTGGAACTGGAAGCCTGCATGCTTTTGTTTTTGTTTATTGCGCATAAAACTTTAATTTTGAATTCTAGCAATAAAGTATTTGACACACGCTCCAAGTCACCGCAGATAGCCATTTGCTTGTGAAGCTGAGGTGACTGTGCCAAACATGCAGGTTGCCATTTGTAGTCCAGCTTAAATACTGCAGAACCGCCTTCACTAGAGCCAGCAATCAACTCTGGGGTGTGTATTTCAGGAAAGTCTTCTGATTTTAAAAATGTCCTATTAACTTCTGATTTTAAACCTAAATATCTGCACATTGATACAACTTGTGTCAGAAGGATGTTTAGCAAGTAGAAATGCCAATTATTGACAATAAAAAAAATTCAACAAAAAGAAAATACATGTTAGAGAGAGAGAGAGAAAGGGATAGGTCAGGAGTAGAAGGAGAGGGCAATTGGAGTTTATGCCTGACACACCTCTACACTGCTCTAGCATATTCATTACCAACAATTTTCTTTTTCCTCATTCCCTCTAGCATAATGTATCTTACAATTTCTTTTTTTTTTTTATTTTTATATAGCCAGTTAAAATAGGGATATTTAGTATTATTAAATTAAATCATAATTATTTTTTTATTTATTCCGGTGTTTTTCTATTTATTTGTACTTATACACTTATTGTTTTAACATAATTATAATGTTATTATCATAATAAAATTTTTAGTCCTTAAAATTTAAAATTTTTAATTGAGTTAAGATATATAGAGTTCCGATATTAATCCTTGTAATAATAAATCTATATAGTAGATAAGTTATTTTGATATCAGGATTCCTATTACCAGCTATAAATCTATATATATATATATTGAGGTAAGGGCACAATAAAAGCGATTTTAAAGGGACAAATTATATATATATATATATTAAAACAAAATCCAAAATCACTGTTCATAGAATAGTGTTATACCAATTTAACCAATTTTTTTACAATTCCTATTTTACCCTTCTTCTTTGTACCGGTCATTTACAGACAAAACACTACTACATATTCTCTAAATTCCAGTGACCACAATCTCTTCCTTTTTCCTTGCAGACTTCACCTTCTATTCTTTTCTATTTCTATGAACTGCTTCTAGATTATTCCTCCTTTTTTTTGGTAATGTTCATTTTTATTTGCATTTAATTCTCTTTTTAATTTGTATTGTTTTCTTTTTTTTCTTCTGTAAGAAACTTAAAAATACTTGGGCAGAAATTTCGGTTTTTCCTTCTTTTCACAATGAAATTGAAATTAGAGAAATCATTTTTTTTTTAGACGAAATCATTGTTTTATTTTCCTTTTGCTTTGCAAATGAAACTCATCTTCTAGATTTCTTGCTGGATTTTAATATTTTGAATTGAAATTACTGCATATCCTCAATATGTTCATATTCATTGATTATGAGTTAATTAGATTCTTTGAATACTTATATTTAATTTTTCTTTGCTGTATCTCGATGCATTTGATGGTCTAGAATTGGGAGAATTTTGATCTTGAACTCACATTAACGAAGCTTAGACCTAAATTTTAGTATTCAGGGTTTTAATTATCTAAATTATTTGTTATGGTTTGAAATTATGAGTGTATGTTTGTTTTATGGATTTCTGTTTCAGGATTTGATATTTATAGTGAAAGTCTGTTTTATTTGGCTATTGAAGATCTTTTCCTTGAGCTTTTTATGATTGGAGATAATTAGATCTGTTATTTCTTCTAATTGGGTAGTTTGGCAACAAGTTATACAAAGTTTACACAAATCATGCCTAGAGATTTCAATTACTGAGCTCAGTGGTCTCCTTCTTTCGTGGAATCATGCATAAAAGGCATAATTACTTTGTTTGTTTACTTTGGATAATCTCTAACCTTACACAGTAATGAGACGTTAGCATAAATATTATTCGCTTATGGTATCAGAGCTGTATATATCTCTAACCTTACACAGTAATGAAGACGCTTCAGCATCAATATTATTCTTTATGGTATCAGAGCTTAACTCTCTAACGAGAATCAGTTTTTTTTCTATCTTCTTCTTTCCTTTTGCTTCTACAATAGACTTTCATCATGTCAGAATCACCTAGCACACCATCTATTGTGCACTCCTTCGCACCTGGTGCTGCCAACGTTGTTCCCCCATTACATCAAATTATCACCTTTAATCCAGCCTCACAACTGCCAATCAAACTTTCCGGTAGTGCAAATTTCTCCACATGGAAGGCACAAGTTCTAACTCTCATGTGTGGATATGACCTGCTTCACTTTCTTGATGGTTCTATTTCCCCACTGTCTCAAACTGATCCTGATTTTAAGGTCTGGTTTCGACAAGACAATCTTATACGTAATGCCTTAATAGCATCCGTAGAACCCACAATAGCACCGGCTGTTGCTTCATCCTTGAACTCGAAGCAGGCTTGGGATCATCTACATACCACATATGCCAACAAATCTCAGACTCGTATCTTCACTCTTCGAGACATTCTGTCCAAAATCAGTAAAGACAGCAAATCAATCACTGATTACTTGAGAGAGATACGCTCAATTTCAGACGAGTTAGCTGCAGCTGGTTCTCCGATTGATGCATCTGAGCTTACTGTCAAAGTACTCAGTGGACTGTGGCCGGACTATAAAGAAATTAGTGCTGCGATTCGTGCCAGAGACACTCCTATCAGTTTTGAAGAGATGCAAGACAAGCTTGCTGATCATGAACTTTTCCTCAAGCATGAGGCAGCAAAAAAACCAGCAGCTCCTATTACGGTTCAAATTGCACAATCACCTCATGGGAATAATTTCAGCTCAAATGCATCCGGATCACGTTTCAACCGTCGTGGGCATAATTCATCAGGCTCAAGAACCTCTACTGGACAGTTCCGTCCTCAGTATTATGGCAATCTCAGACCATTCAGCAATAATAATCAGCGAGTTTTCCAAGGACCACAACAACAATCGCAAGGTTGGAGGCCTTCTAATCGGCCCAGAACTCAGTGTCAGTTATGTGGGCGTTACAGACATATAGCATCTGACTGCCGTTCCTGTTCTCACAATCATTTTGAAGCCAAAGCCATGTTTGCTGCAAATAACACTCATGATTATAATCCATGGTTGGTGGACAGTGGAGCTAATCAACATGTCACGGATACTACCATGAATCTTGTGCCTCCGCATGAATATACAGGCTCCGAATGTATCACTATGGGCAATGGTAACAGTATTCCTATCACCCATACAGGTTCTGTCTCTCTTTCTACACCCAACCGCAATTTTTCTTTATCTAATGTTCTTTGTGCTCCTGACATTAAAAAGAAATTAATTTCTGTTTCAAAGTTTACTAAGCAAACAAATACATCCATTGAATTCTTTCCCCATTATTTTCTTGTGAAGGATTTGAGCACGGGGGCACCTCTGGTTCGCGGGATGAATAAAGATGATCTGTATGTGTGGCCGTTTCAACATTTCAAGTCTGTCCAGTTTTCTACCAATTTCGCTGCGTCATTACCAAGTCTTGAGGTCTGGCACCGTCGTCTAGGTCACCCCAATGTCCGTACTCTTAAGTCAGTGATACATTCTTATTCCTTGCCTTGTGTTAAGTTCAACATGTTCTCTTCATGTAATTCGTGTCTTTGTAATAAGAGTACCAGACTTCCATTTTCGCATAATACATTAACAAGCACTAAGCCATTAGAACTTATTTATACGGATGTTTGGGGCCCCTCTTCAATAGAATCAATTGATAAAAAGAGGTTTTAGGTCATTTTTGTTGATCATTATTCGAAATACACGTGGATTTTTCCTATTACCAAAAAAAGTGATGTTGCACCCATATTTTCCACCTTTAAATCAACTGTTGAAAATTTCTTTGAGCTCAAAATAAAAACTGTTTATTCTGATGGAGGGGTGAATACTCAGGTCTTAAAAGTTTTCTTTCTTCCACTGGAATTCAACACATGGTGTCACCACCATACACACCTCAGCGTGTAGCTTAGGCTGAAAGAAAACATCGTCACATAGTTGAAACTGCCCGAACCTTATTACATCAAGCATCTCTTCCGTACAAATTTTGGTCCTTTGCATGTGCCACAGCTGTGTTTTTAATAAATCGTCTCCCTTCGGCAACCCTTGCTTCTCACTCACCATATCAAATTCTTTTTCATTGTGATCCTTCTTTCTCTCAAATACGTACATTTGGGACTCTGTGCTACCCTTGGCTCAAACCATACACTAGTCATAAACTTGAACCGAGATCGCGTCCATGTGTCTATCTAGGTTTTTCATCCCAATATCACTGCCATCAATGTTTTGATCCTTTCGCCTCAAAATTATTTCTTGCTCGAGATGTGATTTTTTTGGAACACATTTTTCCTTATCAGACCATATTCAAAGATATTGAGTCCACTATAGATGCTACTACTTGGTACTCTCAACATCATGTTAATAATGAGCAGAAGTCTAGTTTGCAATCTGACCTCACGTTGAATGAGTATATACCAGTGCCACTTTCTGTTAATAAGACAGCAGCTCCTTGTCGAGTGGCCACACCTACATCTTCATCTGCTTCAACCGTTGTACATGAGGGGTCTTCAGAATCCTCTCCATCTCCAGGTACTACTTCTTCCTCACCTTCTGTCCCTACTTTGGATTCAATTGTGTCAACTTCTTCTGGTCATACATCCCCAACAGTAACTCCCACTCCTGCTAAACCCACACGAATGGTCACACGGTCACAGCATAATATCTTCAAACCGAAACAGATTTTTGACTATCTTGCAGTTGTTCCACATCGCAATGTTCCTACCACTGTTAAACAGGCCCAGCATGATGCTCATTGGCAACAAGCCATGAGGGATGAATTTGATGCTTTGCTTCGAAATCAAACTTGGGAATTGGTTCCCAAACAACAAAATCAAAATGTTGTTGGGTGCAAGTGGCTGTTTCGGATTAAGTATAAAGCGAATGGTGAGCTTGACAAATACAAGGCACGGCTTGTTGCTAAGGGATTCACTCAGCGGCCAGGTATTGATTATCACTCTACATTTAGTCCAGTTGTTAAGCCTGCTACGGTTCGATTGGTTTTAACTATAGCATGTCAACAAAATTGGCCCTTGCGTCAATTGGATGTTAACAATGCTTTCCTTCGATTGGTTTTAACTATAGCATGTCAACAAAATTGGCCCTTGCGTCAATTGGATGTTAACAATGCTTTCCTTCAAGGGAAGCTTGATGATGAAGTGTATATGAGTCAACCGCCTGGCTTTGAAAGCTCAACTCATCCAGATTATGTCTGCAGACTACA